ATCCCCATCCAGCCAAAGGCATGCCTTGATTTGGAACAGGAGGCTTCCCACCCAGGCAAGTTGATCAGAGCCGACGGTGGTGTTTTGTATCGGTGTAAGCATCATTAAAAAACAATCTATGCATGCAGCAATGTAACTACTTAGATACATAGAATCATAGAGCTATTGAAACCATTAGGAGATCCCGGCCGCCAACATGATGCAAAACGCATTTGTCACCCAAAATGTTGAACATCATATTTGTCCGTAATTGTTTGGGGACGCCCAACGTCTAGTCTATCAGGTTTGCAACGGAACCACATGACTTGGTTTTTGCTTGACATCACAAAAATTGCCCCGCTTGAGGTGACGATCTGGCATTGCAGGGAATTGGAGGCCCAGGGCATTGCTTGGCATGTTCTTTAGGTGTTTGCCACTTGGATGTTTATGATTAGATGCATTTTGGCAAACGTTGGGCACTTCTCCACGGTGCTACATCGTCATAGCACTGCCCCAGAACTTTGACCATAACCTGGCAGCTGATGGGGTGGTGTTTGTTGGGATGTGTTGCTCACTTTTGGGATGGTTTCCATTGAACCTACTTATTGTAGTCTTGGGGTTGGTTCGATTGTTGTCGTACCCACTTTGTGAATGATTTCATGCATTTTTGCAAAGGATTGCTTCTTCAATTTTTGACGTTCAAGGTGTGATAGTTTCCCCAAGATTTGGCAAGATGATGCCAATTGACTGTCGCACAGTTTTCAAGACAATCGCGTTGAACTGGCGAACTAGTTAAATGGCATTTCTGTCCCATTATGTTCTATCTTTTTGCCATCCATGTGGTTGGTTTTCCTCCATCAACAGTGTCCCCCTTTAAAGTCAGTAACCCCACCGTATCCTAAGCAGCTCAAAACGAGACCTCCCCGCCAATCAAATTCAAGGGTTGGTTGGTTATATCACAGGGATTCTAGCTATCCCCCCTTAAGGCTACCCCCGGCATAAATATCTAGGCTTAGCTTAACTCCAAACCATCTGTCATAATGGTTTTTTGACATCCTTATGAATCCTTATGAATAAGTGCATGATGAAAGATGCAGGTTGGTGATGATGGTGGATTATTCATGGTGGATCAAACTATGAATGTTACACACCCTACTGGATGGTTCATCGACATGTTGTTACAGGGCTCAGATGGGGTTTTGAGCCGATACTTTTTTTGGCCTCAGTGGTTACAGCCTCACAATTTTGTATACTGCGGATTAGTACAGTACGTGGGAATTGAATTCCCATAGGCAAATACCCTCGTCATGCTGACAAAAACGCAGAGCCATGCAAATATTTCTGACAGTTGAAAGCCATGCGTGCTAGGACATTTAAAGTAGTTTCAATCATTTCCAAACTCAGTGAGGCGAAACCGCCAAAACAGTGTGGAACCGTCGGTTGTCAAACTTTATGTTCGAATCAATGGTTGGTGCCTGATCATGTCAGGTCTGAACACCTTTCGTAGTTAATTTTCATGGCATGCTGGGTGAAAGCTTGGTGAGAGTTTGAGATTTGAGTTGGCAATCCGTAGATGGTCAGTTCCAGGAACTTTGGCAGAATCAAATTTGTGGAACCGAAAGGGGAATGTATTCAAATTGCTGACCGCAGTTTATTTCATTTTGTTCAATCTCGTGCGGTTGAACCACATCGATGAACGTCAAAATTTCCTCTACCAAAAGGCTGTGCTTGAGGGCCTTTGCAAACTGTATTTCAATAAGAAAATTGTATGCCCAAACCCATCTTGAGCACATGCTTTTGTAAGCAGGCTGTGTTTTTGTAGGACTTGTTTATCTTTTTTTAACCAGGTGTCCTTTTGTTTTTTTGGTCATGCAAAACCATGGGCACAAGAGCCCTCATTTTGTAGGAGGCATGTTGGTCAAGCAAAAAAGGGTCAAATGGTTCTATTTTGCTTGGGCGCTCATGTTGTAATGCCGTAAATTGTTTTGCATGTTTTTGCATGTTTAGACCCAAAATCAATGAAAAATGAGCTCCCTACAAAAAGGAATCCCGTTCTAAGAATCATCAACAAAATGGGCCATTGGGACATCTATATATAGACATCTAAAATCACATTGTCTTGTAGTAGGGGGTTTAGAAGGGGTGGGTGCTTCCTTTTGGTAGGGTTTTTTTTGGTCTTGTTTGACCTTAAGAACCAATTTTGGTAGTAGGGGGGGTTGGCTCAAGGCTTTGTAGCTACAAAAGGGGGTGGCCAACCCACCCCCTGGAATTTCAACCCCCATCCACATCGCGCTTCCCACCATGGGCTCGCATGAACCTGCGCCTGGATCAAGGAGAAGATTCCGCAGCCGGAGCCCTCACAAAGTGGATGAGCAAGTCGATCAGCCAGTGATTGTGGTGGAAGACCCTCCTGCAAATCTTGAATGCAAGATTTTCAGCCCCGGGATGACTTAGACAGTCTCAGCAATTACCTCATTTCTTGCCGGGTGCAAGAGATGATGTTACGAGGTGCGAAGTCTGATGAGATTTACGACACAGTGATTCGCTTGCGGCGTGAGTATGCTGAGATCGAGCAGCAGAACCAGAACCTGGAGTCAGCCTAGACACTGCAGGGATGTTGGTTGGTTCTGCAGCATCATCAAATTAAGTTTGCTGCCTGGATGTTCTGCCTATGGCAATGTAACATCAAATTCAATTTCGACTGTTGAACCGGCAGCGTTTCATGTCTCAATAGGGTCCGTTCGTCTGCAACTTGACTACCTGGCAATCTTGACAATCAACGCAGTGACATGTGGGCCAAAACCCAGTGATTTTTTCTCCAGTCGTTTTCAACATCCTAACTCAATGCCGCAAAGGATGGCAAGCAAACCTGTCACGACTGGCTGTCCTTCAACAGATTTTGGCCCTAGATTGAGCATCCAAGTCCTAGATAGCTTTGTGAGCTGTTGGGAGGACTGGGTGAAGATGACTTCTGGCCAAGCTTCAGGAGGGTGAATCCTGAGGAAGTTGCAGTCAATGATGATGCTGATTGTCATTCTGAGGAGATTATCTTTGAGAATGCGGATATGGAGGATGCTTCGCCTGAAGTTCTGAAAAGACCAGCCTGTCTTGACTTTGATGCAGTTGCCAAAAGACCATCCATGAAGACTGAAGTCGCGAAAAGGCCAGCCAAAATTCAGATTGAGACCGATCCGCGGCCTCCAGGCAGTTCGTCCTCCGCCAAGGCCAAGGGAAAGGCCAAGGCTGCTGCCAAGGCAAACGCCAAGGCAAAAGCCAAGAGAAAGTCAAGCCGCCATCCGTTGAAAGCAAACGCAGAATCATCAATGGTGATTCTTCTGGGTCCCGTGAATGAGGTAACAAGTGCTCGCTTGAGAGAAGCACACTTCAAACATGCTGCATTGATTGCCATAGAACCAACATGAGAGAAGCAGTCTTCACATATATCCAATAGCTGACAAGAGACGAGAATGGGTATGGTTGGTTGCATGCAACAAAATTTACACCTTCAATCGCAGAAGCAGATGAAGGCAGAACATAGAATATTGAACTCTGAAGAAAGCACATCCGGCAAGCCCGATCATCTGCTCATTTCAACCCATTGGTGAACCAGGTCGGAGGCTGACGTTGTAATTGATCCGGCGCTGATTGGACATTGATAAGACTGATTTGACAATCGTTGGCATTGATCGGGACTCGACACTGATAAGACATGACTTGGCACTGATGATGATTTGACATTGGTTTGACAGAAGCAACGAAGGCATAATACATTCACTTAACCATGGTTGGAACTGATTCGGTGCTGCTGTTGACATTGTCGTCGTTTGACAGTGATTCTGATTGACAGTGATTGACGGCCATGAGGCGGCAATAGTTAATTACCACATTAGTAAGTTACATGCTGTGGCAGCGGCGCGGCACATGCCCAAAGACAGTTATAACGGGTCAGCAGGACCAGTTGCCCTATGGGAGAGGCGTTGTCTGTGCACGCAGTGCGGGCAAGCCACAAGCGTACACACTGTAGTGCAGGGCAAAACATGGAGGTTCGACTCCTCCCTGGTCCCCCCCCTGACCTGAACTTTGTAATTTTGATTGACGTTGCGCTGCCTTCGGCACTGACTGACATTGATACGACATTGATTTGGATGGGTTTGGCACTCAGGGTGTTCGTGGTGGCTTTCAAGGCCATTGTGCATTGATCTGGCTTAGGGATTTGTCCAGTTGTGGGCAATATATTTTACTCATGTGGTGCTGTTAATGCGTCTCTCTGAATTTGACCACATGGTCGTGTGGATCGTGTATCCGGCCTGTGGCCATGGTACGAAGACACACTGCGAGGGGACGGGGTGGGTGATGCAGGTCGTAGCTGTGGCTTCTGCCCATCTGGTCCGATGGGCTGTTCCAGGAAAAATGGGAGGCCGACTGTGTTGCAGCTTCTGTTGTGGGCTGTGTGGTCCCGTTGGGGGGTGGGAGTTGTTTCACTCTGCTTGTATCGCTGCGTTTTGTCCATCCATTCATTCATGCATACATTCATCTATGAATCCATCTCATCTCATTTCACTTCATTTTGTTTTCACTTCATCCATCCATGAATTCACAAGCCAAAGGTAGCCTTTTGTCACTTCCTTCTTATCATATTTGCCATAAGTACCAAATGGCCACAGGCCATAAATATGGATGGATGACTGGATGGACAAACTGCCACCTTTGGCTACACCCATATTTGTAACATATACATGGATGTAGCCAAACGTAGCCATTCTATAGTGCACCCAGTATATATATATATATATACATATATTATGTTTTTTTCATTTGTGGATCCCTTCGGTGGGGAAAACGGATTCATCGGGAGCCCAGGTTGCGTGTGATCCAAAGGCACGTCCCCCCCCCGGTTTGTTCGATTTTTTTGGCTACCCCATAGTTTAGTGCAGCAAATATATGATGTTATTTGCTATATAAACATATTCAAATACCTTGTGTTTGGGGGACCCATCCCTGTCTGGTCGCACGGCTCGCAGGTCCCCCGATCGCCCCGCTGGTGCGGGAACCCTCCGGATTCGGGTGACCGGTGATCGAACTGGAAGGCAACTGTATCCATAACAACCCCCAAATAGATTCTGTCATTTTTTGGGCATCCCGATGGTATGATTAGTATGTGTATAGGGATAGAATGAGTCAATACCGAAAATATAACCCCTCTACTAAAACTGCAGATGAAACATCTCAATGGTCCCAACCTAGACCATTCGGCCCCAGGTTTTTGACCCATTCCCGCATGAACAATATGTTAGCAGTGATCAGGGTCAAATGTGGCACCAAAAATAGGGATGGGTTTACGAAAATGGAACAAAGCCTGTGGGTCCGGCAACCTTGGTTTGTTTGAAACTTATCTTGTGACATCTTGTGACAATGTGGGTTTGTCTGAAAATAGGGTACCCCATTTCATCCACAGCATGTTCCCTAGTGGACAACAATCTTTCGGACAATACCAGACAAAACCCATTTGTGACCAAAACATGCGAGAAATCATGAGTCCCAAAGATCTTGAAGGCGGGTTGCCAATATCCTATCGTACCTGCTTCCGTTGTTTTTTTTGCCCGTCGCATTTTCCCGGAACTCACTTTCTGAAAAAGGTCAAACATGCAGCGCAGTTTTCTCCGCAATCGAGTCCTGATTTCTTGGAGCATCAGGAAACCCCCAATCTTCCCTATAACCCATTTTCAGAAGTTCACCTGGTTCGCCTGCGGTTGAGGTGCCATACATGATGATGCCTGTTCAGTCAGTTCAGCCTGTACAGTCGCTACAGGCTGAGAAGCTGAACAGCGTTGTTTTTCTGGAGAGGGGCGGTGCTGGAGTAAGATGTTGGTTGGCCTATTTTGTTGGTTTTGACTTTGGTCGGTGATTTTGCTGAGGTCATTTTAATAGATCAGTTTTTGATATGTTTCTTTTGGACGTGGTGATTTTGTTTGGTTCCATCTTGAATTCTAGGTGAGTCATGTGTCACTGCTGCAAGTTTCTTGGCCAGAAACAAATATCAGTTGGCCCTCAGAAGCCTTGAAATGGTAGGAGAGCCTGCCTTTCATCCATTCAACCATTTCTGGCTGGATTTTTCTTGAAAAATGCATGGTGAACTGCATTTTTGATGGTACTTTTGTGGCCTCGAATAGCTGACACCTGATGGCACAAAGTTCCTATATGGATGGGATATGATGGGATCGGATGGTTGAAATCCGCAGAAAAGATGTTGGTGGCATGACAGGGGATGGTGGATTCTATTGCTTTAGTACCATTTCACAACAAGAATTTAGGATTTACTATTCTATTGGTTTACGGTTGATTTTACTATTGCTATACCACCCATAAAATGGTAAATGTTGGGTTGAAGATCCAATTTCATCCCTGTTAGTGCTAGGCCGCCCTGGCGAATAACGCGAATTGTGCGAATGCGATGGTCGCAGGGAATTTTGCAGGTCAGCCAGATTTTTGTTGGCGCTTGATGCCTAGGTAAAGCTTGGTGAATGGGTACTTGGAAGTGCAGTTCCATTTCGAAACGGGGAGATTTTTGCCGGAAGTATTGGGGTTATATATATATAAGTATATAACATATATATATATAAGTATATAATATATTTATATATATATATATAATATATATATATATAATATATATAATATATATATAATATATATATATAATATATATATATATATAATATATTATATATATATATATATATTATATATATTATATAAATATATATATATATTATATATTATATTATATATATTATATACATTTTATATTATATATATATATATTATATATATATCAATTATCCCCACTTATGGGGGTTTATAACCATGGCTTAATCCTTATTTTGTAAACTCATCTACGCCCCCAAGTAGGTCCATACCGTTAAGTTGCCATGGCCATCGTGAGATTTTTTTACCTGTCCTGTCGACCATGACTACCATTAATTGGATACATTTTATGTATAAAATGTATATGTATTTCATGGGGAAGTACTTTGGTACACGTTTGTTTCTCGAGAGATATTTTTAGGGTAGGTCATGTAGACTGCTGAATTTTCATGTTGCGCGGTGCAGGTCTTCTGTGACCTATACCAAGAAGATCAAGGGGTTCAGCTTTTTGTTTTACATCGGAGATTGGGATGGTTTCGAAAATCAAATGAGAGGTTTGTCATGTTGCTTCTATATGTAGGTTTCCTAGAATCGCGGTACCCCCAACTCATTCAAAAAATATCGTATTGAACTCAGTCTTGAAACCCATGGTGACGACTGGGGATCCCCCATTTTCAGGAAGCTTCCATCTCATATAGACAATACTGACCATTTTTTGTTGGCCAAATCCCAATCTTATGGGTGAAATGTCCATTGTTGCTGGGGTAGCTACATACGTGGCCAAAAAAAAAGAAAAAAAAAAAAAAAAAAACAAAAAACACACAACCCCAACCCCCACACCAAAAAAAAAAATTCCGGCTGGTGAATTACTAAGCCACCAGTGGCGATTTGGGGGTTCTTTTTCCCCGTGGAAAAACCCAAATTATCATGTTTCGCTTAAACAAAAAAAACATGAAATGCTACGAGATCCTATGGGTAACTGGTTAAACCATTGAAATTTGATCATAACAAATGGCTCCACTCAGCAACTTCCGACGACTCCGACATGGATTGGCTTCAGGGGGCCTGCGCTACCTGAATGGTGACGAAGTTTACACAGAAACTTCCTGGCGAGCACGTGGGTGTTAAGGTGGTGATGCGGAAAAGCTATGGTTTCAAGGTCGGACATGATCTACGTTACATGGTGGATTTTCCATAGCCATAAGTCCCTGGTGTTTACTGGAGGGTAGTCGCAGATTTCACTGGCGAACATTGCTACATTTACCACCCTATGTTGGTTCGAATGGTTCAGAATTATGGTTCTACCAGGGCCATCCAATCATCAGCTTCTGCGAATATGATTGCAGAGCCAACTGATTTGAATGGAACATGATTCCGGATGATATGTTAGTTTAATGGGGCAGGCTTTGATAAAATCAGCAGTGATGAGGATGCAAGCGACAAACTCTGATCCCAATGTTTGGCAGTTTCAGGACTTATTCAGGACTTTATCTCACTTGCCTGGGTGTGTGTGTGTGAGCTGACAAGTAGCCGAAGTCGCCGATTATTTGGCAACATTATTGGTTGGAGATGTTGCAAGATGTTGCAAGTGGCGTTTGCCATCCCATATGACCTGGTTGTGTTCTTCAGGTGTGGATGGGCTGCTAGAGCCTTGAAAGCATGGGTAGGTTAGGCAGTTCGGCACTGTCTAGGTGCAGCAAAATACTGGATCTGAGTAGAAAACATTACCAGCATTTTTTCCGCTTGTCGTTTGGGGGGCTACAATCATGGCCATTCTGTAATATCCTTAAACAAATAGAAAGTTGCTATTATGACATGCTATGACCCATATCCATCTATATGGGGGTTTCCTAAAATGGGGGTATACCCCTAAATCATCCATTTATAGATGGGATTTTCCATGAAATAAACCATCCAGCTATTGGGGATCCTCCATTGATGGAACGCCCCAGACCATCCCAGACCAAGGATTGAGCCATCGGAGGCTGGGAGGGCAGTTCTCGGACCATTCGGACCATTCGGATTTCATGGGACTTATATAAAGGATATATACTGGGAATTAATGGGATATATGATATATACGGATACTTATGTGTATATATATAGATTACATAATCATATGACCGACCTAATACTTAAAATGATTTGGGTTTGTGTGAAAATTATATGACAGCCAGCCAGTGATTACCGTAACTGCCGTGTTGTGGTCCAAGTGATTCCAAGTGGATTTGCCACAATTCTTTCATGTTCAGGTGTCAATGATTCGAAGCAATCAAAAAATCGACCCATACATAACCAGCAATCAAAGGTGGCAATGGGAAGTCCCGAATGGAACATGCAGATTTTAACGTGAACATCTTGGATTTTCCATTGCCATGTTTAATCAATAGAGGATAACCGAATCAGAATGCCCATGAAAATAGGTGGAAAAACACTAATGGCTATCAGCAAAGCAGGCTCTAAAAAATGATAAAGTAGCTCAACATGTCCCAGCTCAATGCCTACCAGATCATGCATGGTATATTTATAGATGCATTTACCCTTGAAATGGATCAACTATTCATGTAGGTAGCCATATAAATCTGAGTGAAATGTAGGTACGTCACCATGCAAATGGTGGTTAGTGACTGTCCCGAAATCGCATTTTTTGAGGTTGTTGAATTACTATAATTCAGCCAGAAAGGTAGTACGATTCATTCATGTAGATGGTGTAGTTGCATTTGCCACACCCAAACACACACCTATGTATATATATATATATAAGTAGGGCTACCGCCCTGGTGCCGCCGACCCCCCTTATGGGGGGCATGGCCGTGGAAAGAAAGGAGCATGGCGACAGAATACAAAAATAAGTTCAATGTATATGTATGTGTATAAAGACAGATAGATAAATAGATATAAATAGATAGATAGAGATAGATATAGATATAGATAAATATCGATAGATATAGACAGATATAGATAGTTAGTGATAGATAATGATAGATCTGCTCGCTAATGCTAGATCTGCCGCTCTTGCTCAGCTCCTTTCGATTCTTCTCGCCTCCCTTCCTCCCTTCCTTCTCCTCGTTCTCTCTCCTTCCTCTCCTTCGTCTCTCGCTTCTCTCTCCCTCCTCTCTCCTTCTCTCTCCTTCTCCTCCTGCTCGCTCTGCCCCGCGCTACGCTCCTCCTCTCGCCCCTCTCGCTCCCTCCGCTCGCTCCGCCACTCTCGCTGCTCGCTCGCTAGACCCTCCCTGGGTCGCTCGCTCGCTCGCTCGATAGATCGCTCGATCGCTCGCTCGCTCGAATCGATACTCTAGACAGATATCCTCCTGATATGATCGCTACTGTCGATGCTAGATAGCATAGGTAGATAGATAGATAGATAGTTACTGTAGATAGACTATTAGACTAGATAGATAGATAGATATATAGATGCTGTAGATAGATAGATAGATAGATTAGGTAAGAATGCTGTCAGATAGATAGATAGATAGATAGATAGTTACTGTAGATAGATAGATACTGTAGATGATAGATACTGTAGATAGATACTGTACATAGATAGATACTGTAGATAGATAGATACTGTAGATAGATAGACACTGTAGATAGAAAGATACTGTAGATAGATAGATACTGTACATAGATAGATACTGTAGGTAGATAGATACTGTAGATAGATAGATACTGTAGATAGATAGATACTGTAGATAGATAGATGCTGTAGATAGATAGATACTTTAGATAGATAGATACTGTAGATAGATAGATACTGTAAATAGATAGACGCTGTAGATAGATAGATGCTGCAGATAGATAGATAGATCGATAGATAGATAGATAGATGCTGTAGATAGATAGATGCTGTAGATAGATAGATGCTGTAGATAGATAGATGCTGTAGATAGATAGATGCTGTAGATAGATAGATGCTGTAGATAGATAGATAGTGTAGATAGATAGATACTGTAGATAGATAGAAATATGGGTAGATAGATAGATCGATAGATAGATAGATACTGTAGATAGATAGATAGATAGATAGATAGATAGATAGATAGATAGATAGATAGATAGATAGATAGATAGTTACTGTAGATAGATAGATAGATAGATAGATGGATAGATAGATAGATAGATAGATACTGTAGATAGATAGATACTGTAGATAGATAGATACTGTAGATAGATAGATGCTGTACATAGATAGATACTGTAGATAGATAGATACTGTAGATAGATAGATGCTGTAGATAGATAGATAGATAGATAGATAGATAGATAGATAAATAGATAGATAGATAGATAGTTACTGTAGATAGATAGATAGATAGATAGGTAGATAGGTAGATAGGTAGATAGGTAGATAGGTAGATAGGTAGATAGGTAGATAGGTAGATAGGTAGGTAGGTAGGTAGGTAGATAGGTAGATAGGTAGATAGGTAGGTAGGTAGGTAGATAGGTGGATAGGTAGATAGATAGATAGATAGATAGGTAGGTAGGTAGGTAGATAGGTGGATAGGTAGATAGATAGATAGATAGGTAGGTAGATAGGTAGGTAGGTAGATAGGTGGATAGGTAGATAGATAGATAGATAGGTAGATAGGTAGAGAGGTAGATAGGTAGAGAGGTAGATAGGTAGATAGGTAGATAGGTAGATAGGTAGATAGATAGATAGGTAGATAGGTAGGTAGGTAGATAGGTGGATAGGTAGATAGATAGATAGATAGATAGGTAGATAGGTAGGTAGATAGGTGGATAGGTAGATAGATAGATAGATAGGTAGATAGGTAGGTAGGTAGATAGGTGGATAGGTAGATAGATAGATAGATAGATAGATAGGTAGGTAGATAGGTAGGTAGGTAGATAGGTGGATAGGTAGATAGATAGATAGATAGATAGGTAGATAGGTAGGTAGGTAGATAGGTGGATAGGTAGATAGATAGATAGATAGATAGGTAGATAGGTAGGTAGGTAGATAGGTGGATAGGTAGATAGATAGATAGATAGATAGATAGGTAGATAGGTAGGTAGGTAGATAGGTGGATAGGTAGATAGGTAGATAGGTAGGTAGGTAGATAGGTGGATAGGTAGATAGATAGATAGACAGATAGAAAGACCAGCTGCCACACCGAAACAGCATGGCACTACGAGACAGGCCAGCTACGTCGTGGCCCATTTGCTCGCTTTGAAACGCCGATAAATGGTTAAAGAAGAATGCCAAGAGCAGCCGCCAGCTCGAGAAACACTTTTCACCACGGTTTAACAGCATGGCAGTGAAGGACGGAAGGCTTCGCGCCGCTGCCCGGTTGGAAGGCATCAGGTCGCCTTCTGAATGGTCAAAAGAAGAATGCCAACACCACCTGCCAGCTTGGGCCTTCTGAACGGTCAAAGATCTCGGGAAAAAGCACCCTTTGTCACTTTAACAGCATGGGAGTGAAGGGCGGAAAGCTTCTCGAAGGGCAGCTAGGTCGTGGCCCATTTGCTCGCTTGGAAACGCCTATAGAAGAAGGTTCAAAGGCCAGCCAAAAGGGGTTCAAAGGCCAGCCAAAAGGCTCACGAACGCACCGCCAGCTCGGAGACAGAACCCTTCGCCACGCCTTAACAGCATGGCAGTGAAGGATGGAGCCCGGTCGGAAGGCATCAGGTCGCCTTCTGACTGCCTAGAGCAGCTGCCAGCTCGGCAGGCTTGAACGCCTGATGCCTGATGCCTGTTGGTTGCGAATGCCTGGCCAATGGCACGCTGGACCGCCGAGAAAAAGCAATGGATCTGGCCTTGGGGTAGCTTTTGCCTGCGCTGCAAGCCCATAAGAAGCCATTGATGTGGCCTTGGGATGCCGCCTTGGGATGCCCGTTGGCTGCGAATGCCTAGCGAACGGCACGCTGGACCGCCTAGAAACAGCCATGGATCTCGCCTCGGGGTAGCTTGTGCCTGCGCTGGAAAGCCGTTTGGAGCGTTTTCGGGCTGGCAAACGGCAAGCTTGGACGCCCATAAAAAGCCATGGATGTGGCCTTGGGATGCCTGTTCGCTGCGAGTGCCTGGCCAACGGGACGCTGGACCGCCCAGAAAAAGCAATGGATCTGGCCTTGGGGTAGCTTTTGCCTGCGCTGGAGTCCATAAGAAACCATTGAAGTGGCCTTGGGATGCCCATTGGCTGCAAATGCCTGGCGAACGGAACGCTGGACCGCCCAGAAACAGCAATGGATCTGGCCTTGGGGTAGCTTTTGCCTGCGCTGGAAGCCCATAAGAAGCCATTGAAGTGGGGTTTTGGAAGTTTGGAGCGTTGCAGGGCTGGCAAACGGCAAGCTTGTACGCCCATAAAAAGCCATGGACGCAAGCTTTCGCCTGCGCTGGAAGCCCATAAGAAGCCATTGAAGTGGCCTTTTAGGGGTTTTAGGGGTTTGGAGCGTTTTACAGGTGGCAAACGGCAAGCTTGGATGCTTTGATGCCCATAAAAAGCTATGGATGTGGACTTTTGCCTGCGCTCGAAGCCGATAAGAAGCCATTGAAGTGTTTTAGGGGTTTTAGGGGTTTGGAGGGTTTTAGACCTGGCAAACGGCAAGCTTGGACGCCCATAAAAAGCCATGGATGTGGGCTTTTGCCTGCGCTGGAAGCCCATAAGAAGCCATTGAAGTGGCCTTTTAGGGGTTTTGAGGGTTTGGAGGGTTTGGAGCGTTTTAGGCCTGGCAAACGGCAATCTTGGACGCCCATAAAAAGCCAGGAATGTTGGGCTTTTGCCTGCGCTGGAAGCCCATAAGAAAGCCCTTGAAGTGGGCCTTTTAGGGGTTTTTAAGGGGTTTGGAGGGTTTTAGGGCTGGCAAACGGCAAGCTTGGACGCATAGAAAAAGCCATGGATGTGGCCTTGGGATGCCTGTTCGCTGCGAATGCCTGGCCAACGGCACGCTGGACCGCCCAGAAAAAGCAATGGATCTGGCCTTGGGGTAGCTTTTGCCTGCGCTGGAAGCCCATAAGAAGCCATTGAAGTGGGGTTTTGGAAGTTTGGAGCGTTGCAGGGCTGGCAAACGGCAAGCTTGGACGCCCATAAAAAGCCATGGACGCAAGCTTTCGCCTGCGCTGGAAGCCCAGAAGAAGCCATTGAAGTGGCCTTGGGATGCCCGTTGGCTGCAAATGCCTGGCGAACGGAACGCTGGACTGCCCAGAAACAGCAATGGATCTGGCCTTGGGGTAGCTTTTGCCTGCGCTGGAAGCCCATAAGAAGCCATTGAAGTGGCCTTTTAGGAGTTTTAGGGGTTTGGAGGGTTTTAGGCCTGGCAAACGGCAAGCTTGGACGCCCATAAAAAGCCATGGATGTGGGCTTTTGCCTGCGCTGGAAGCCCATAAGAAGCCATTGAAGTGGCCTTTTAGGGGTTTTAGGGGTTTGGAGGGTTTTAGGCCTGGCAAACGGCAAGCTTGGACGCCCATAAAAAGCCATGGATGTGGGCTTTTGCCCGTTGGAAGCCCATAAGAAGCCATTGAAGTAGGGGTTTTAGGGGTTTGGAGGGTTTTAGGCCTGGCAAACGGCAAGCTTGGATGCCCATAAAAAGCCATGGACGCAAGCTTTCGCCTGCGCTGGAAGCCCATAAGAAGCCATTGAAGTGGCCTTTTAGGGGTTTGAGGGGTTTGGAGCGTTTTACAGGTGGCAAACGGCAAGCTTGGATGCTTTGATGCCCATAAAAAGCTATGGATGTGGACTTTTGCCTGCGCTGGAAGCCGATAAGAAGCCATTGAAGTGGCCTTTTAGGGGTTTTAGGGGTTTGGAGGGTTTTAGGCCTGGCAAACGGCAAGCTTGGACGCCCATAAAAAGCCATGGATGTGGGCTTTTGCCTGCGCTGGAAGCCCATAAGAAGCCATTGAAGCGGCCTTTTAGGGGTTTAGGGGTTTGGAGGGTTTTAGGCCTGGCAAACGGCAAGCTTGGACGCCCATAAAAAGCCATGGGTGTGGGCTTTTGCCTGCGCTGGAAGCCCATAAGAAGCCATTGAAGTTGCCTTTTAGGGGTTTTAGGGGTTTGGAGGGTTTTAGGCCTGGCAAACAGCAAGCTTGGACGCCCATAAAAAGCCATGGATGTGGGCTTTTGCCTGCGCTCGAAGCCCATAAGAAGCCATTGAAGTGGCCTTTTAGGGGTTTTAGGGGTTTGGAGGGTTTTAGGGCTGGCAAACGGCAAGCTTGGACGCCCATAAAAAGCCATGGATGTGGGCTTTTGCCTGCGCTGGAAGCCCATAAGAAGCCATTGAAGTGGCCTTTTAGGGGTTTTAGGGGTTTGGAGGGTTTTAGGCCTGGCAAACGGCAAGCTTGGACGCCCATAAAAAGCCATGGATGTGGACTTTTGCCTGCGCTGGAAGCCGATAAGAAGCCATTGAAGTGGCCTTTTAGGGGTTTTAGGGGTTTGGAGGGTTTTAGGGCTGGCAAACGGCAAGCTTGGACGCCCATAAAAAGCCATGGATGTGGGCTTTTGCCTGCGCTGGAAGCCCATAAGAAGCCATTGAAGTGGGGTTTTGGAAGTTTGGAGCGTTGCAGGGCTGGCAAACGGCAAGCTTGGACGCCCATAAAAAGCCATGGACGCAAGCTTTCGCCTGCGCTGGAAGCCCAGAAGAAGCCATTGAAGTGGCCTTGGGATGCCTGTTCGCTGCGAATGCCTGGCCAACGGCACGCTGGACCGCCCAGAAAAAGCAATGGATCTGGCCTTGGGGTAGCTTTTGCCTGCGCTGGAAGCCCATAAGAAGCCATTGAAGTGGGGTTTTGGAAGTTTGGAGCGTTGCAGGGCTGGCAAACGGCAAGCTTGGACGCCCATAAAAAGCCATGGGCGCAAGCTTTCGCCTGCGCTGGAAGCCCAGAAGAAGCCATTGAAGTGGCCTTGGGATGCCCGTTGGCTGCAAATGCCTGGCGAACGGAACGCTGGACCGCCCAGAAACAGCAATGGATCTGGCCTTGGGGTAGCTTTTGCCTGCGCTGGAAGCCCATAAGAAGCCATGGAAGTGGACTTGGAGGGGTTGTAGCGGTTTGGAGCGTTTTAAGGCTGGCAAACGGCAAGCTTGGACGCCCATAAAAAGCCATGGATAGGGATGGCCTGTTGCTGGCCAATGGCACGCTGGACCGCCGAAGTGGCCTTTTAGGGGTTTTAGGGTTTAGGGTTTTAGGGGTTTTAGGGGTTTGGAGGGTTTTAGGCCTGGCAAACGGCAAGCTTGGACGCCCATAAAAAGCCATGGATGTGGGCTTTTGCCTGCGCTGGAAGCCCATAAGAAGCCATTGAAGTGGCCTTTGAGGGGTTTTAGGGGTTTGGAGGGTTTTAGGCCTGGCAAACGGCAAGCTTGGACGCCCATAAAAAGCCATGGATGTGGCCTTGGGATGCCTGTTCGCTGCGAGTGCCTGGCCAACGGGACGCTGGACCGCCCAGAAAAAGCAATGGATCTGGCCTTG